GGTGAGTGCTTCAGCTCTGCTGCTGGTGCTGCTATACTTCCTCCCAACACTCTGCTCAGCTCTACCTTGCTCCCTGTGCGGTAAGAGCCCTGGGTCCACTCTGAGGGCCATGGCACACATCCCATGCCGCTCACTGGTCCAGCTGGTGGTGGGTATCTCTTCCTTGTGTGGTATATGGCCTGTGGTATATGGCCCCATGTTGTATCGTGGAGCTCAGGGGAGCAAGTTTAGCCTGAGAAGGAAAAGATCAGTGGCTGCTGAGACTTCTCCCTGTGTGCAGCCTGAAGGTAGGAGGGCTTATCCAGAAGGATAGTGGCTGAAGCAGTGGGAGCAGCCTGGCACCCCTGTCCCTGTGGTCATAGTGCAGGACAAGGGATGTGCCCAACTCTGCGGTGCAGCAGGTGCACCCCACAAGAGCATCCAGCATGGCATAAACCCTGTGGCTGCTTTCCTGATGTGTTGTGTTGAGAGGATTAAAGATGGGGAATGCTCCCTGTGAAACTGCTTGTCTGCATCTCCTTTTTTACTCCCCATCCCTGGGCAGCCCATCTGCTGCATGTCCCAGTGAGCATCTCCAGCCAGGGGTGCTGCTGGGCTGGCAGTGTCCCCAGGCTCTGCTCATCCCCACCCACTGCAGCAGGGCTCTGGCAGCTCCCAGCCTGGGCACCTACATCCCTCTCCTTGGGCAGTGGAGAAGTTTTGCCCATACCCCTGCCGCTGCCTGCCTGTGCTGTGCTGAGCCCCTGCCTGCAGTGCACAGCCCTGGAGGCTCTCAACAATGGTGTGTGACTCCAGCTACAGAGTTGTGTCAACTCCCACGAGGAGTGTGCTCAGGCCAGGGATTAACTTTCCCTGCTTACTGCTAATGCTCTGGCTGTGCTGCCCCAGTGGGGCTGTCCTTAGCTGTCCTCCACTGCCCTTCCCGACAGCAACGCTTGGCTGCTTAACCCAGGCAGCATGCCCTGCTCTCCTAATGCTCCTGGCGGGATCCCCTCCCCGTAGATAGGGACACATCCACCTCTGCAAGAACATCTTTTACTCTAAACACAAGGCAGTGCCAGGAGCAGTGGCAGAGTGAGTGCCGGAACCCCCTGCCTTGCTCCAGCACAGCACCAGGACCCCAACTGCAGCTCTTCCCTGGACAGGAGCAACTGTCCTGGGGCACAGAGCTGCAGAGCCACTGCTGCCATCACCCGGGGGAGGTCCCACAACTCGCTCTTCTGCAACCCCCAGGGGCAGCCAGGGCCCTGTGTTTAGCAGCAGGTCACATGCCCACAGTTCTGGAACACAGACCAAGTCCCATGCAGCAGAATCCAGGGCACAGAACACTCCAAACCCAACACACCCCAGCAAAGAGCAGCAACTCTCTCCCAACCACAGCAATCCGCTCTGCAATGGCTCCACTGGGCAGCAGGGATGAGGGCAGCTGCTTTTCCCCTGGCTTGGCTTCAGCGTACGTTGCTGCCATGAGGTGGGACAGGCTCAGATCTGTGTGGTGTCCTGACCCACTGGCGCTGGCTGCAGCCCCTCCAGCTGGTGGAGGATGTCATTTATGCTGGGTCGCTCCTGGGGGTTCACTGTCATCATGGAGGAGAGCAGGCGCTGCAAGGCAGCCGAGTACCTGAAGAAAGATGGTAAGGGTGGTGTCCATGTGGTGCACAACACAGGGGGCTGCCCGGGAGCAGGATCCCCCTCCCCAACCCCTCACCTGGTTGTAGGGGGCACAGCGATGGGGTTCTGCACTGCCAAAGCCACGCTGTCACCCTTCTGGAAGATGGCATCGTAGGGGCCCTCCCCAAACATCATGCAGTACAGCACACAGCCTAGGGACTGGAGCATGGCAGGGTCAGGGCAGCCCCACAGCAGTGGGATGGGGGTAAGAGGACCGCATCCTTACCCAGATATCTGTGCGCTCATCTATGATGCACTGGCTTGGCACCGTGAAGAGCTCGGGGGCACGGTAGGAGATGGTGCAGCGCTGGGCAGCCCAGTCCTGCAGAGAGGACAGTGACGATGAAGGGCCCAGGGCAGGGACAGGCTGGTGGGGTGATGTCCCAGACCACCCACCTGTATGGCCATGGCCTCCCGAGAGTTGTTGACTTCAATGCGAGCTTGGTTCATGGAGCCCAGGTCCATCAGCACGGGCCGGTCATCCTCATCCAACAGCACATTGGTGGGCTTGAGGTCCCTGTGGGAATGGATATCACCGAGTACCTGCTCAACCCCCTGCCTGCCCCCCCACAAGCTGAGGCTGCTGGGCCCCACCTGTGTGCATAGCCCTTGCTGTGGATGGCTTGCAGCCCGTGGCAGATGCCATGGAGGATGAGGAGGATCCGCTGCTCTGGCATGAAGGTCCCTTTCTTTCGCAGTGCTTCCACCTCACTCCAGAGGGTCCCCCCCTGGCAAATGCAAGCAGCCAGTCACCACTGTTGCTCCCAGTGGCAAGGGGGTGGGGGACAGCTGGGGGAGCCCCCCTCACCTTCACATAGGGAAGGAGGAGCCACGCTTCATGCTTGGCACCTTTCTCCACCATGCAGTGGGCCACCAGGTGCAGGATGTTGGGGTGGTCGAAGAGGCCGTGCATCTCCACCTCATGCAGGGCAGCCTGGTGGTCCTCTTTGTCATGGCACAGGATGCGCTTCAGGGCATAGAAGCGCCCGTCCCGCAGACCCTCCACCAGGTCCACGTAGCTGAAGCCCCTGCAAGGTGACGAGCACGGCATGGGTCAGGTGTCACACTGCTGTGGCACCCACATTGTGGCCTTGTGCCCAGCCTCAACTGTGAGCACCCAGGGGAGGGAAGCAGAGGGCAGCAGGTGCCTGCACCCCTCTCCATGGGAATACCCCAAACACGCACATTCCCCCAACCTTGGGGACACATGCCAGACATCCAAAGCAACCCCCCTCTGCATGAACAAACCCACTGGTCCAATCACCCCACTCCCATGGGTCCAAGCACCCACTCATGGGCATGACCAAGCCCTGCCACCCAGCATGAGAATACTCTGCCATACACAAGAAGCCACTATGCCCAAGCAGCTTC